CTGATGGCTAACTGGGCATGATTAAATGTTGCATCAGTCTTCTACCTTAGAGACAGGATTGGTGCCACCAGTCATTAACAACAGGGCAATGCTTCTGATATTTTCCTTCAGGATTTTTATGTTTCTCAGATGTTGGTTAACTTAACCTGGTGTCTGTCCTGAAGAACTTGGAAGAGACAGAAGCCCATCAGACTGCCTGGTTTGGTCTATAACTGAGTTTGTGCAGACACAGCTAAGGTATTCAAACTATTTCTGATAAATGGGAATGACAGTTTTAATAGTAGAGCCTCATACCTTGGAGAAAATTCCCTTGGGATAAATGAGTGTGTGTATGGCAATCAACAAGAGTGAGCAATGCCAGCTGCACCAGTGCTCTGTTCTCTGCATCTCCAGTGAGGCCAGGCTTGCTTAGCAGTGTTGGATGTGCCTTGAATCCATAATTGATCTTTCCTGTAGAATATTTCTCTTGCAGTTTAATGGGTTTACATTTCTCCTTGTTAAATATACTATATTTTCTTTTAAATTTCCTTCAGAAAATAACAGCATAAAATGATGCTCTCCCTGAAGGAAGTTATCTGTCTAGCTGAGCTCATTAAAGCTGGGGATTTTATTGTCCTTTTCATAGGTCAGACTTGCTTCCTTGCAGGTATCCTGTACAATTGGCATTGTCCAGGATCTCTTCATTGTTGTTATTCAAGTAACCATAACTCATTTATTTTAGAAGTCTTATGCAATATACCTTCTTTATGGAAGTAGCAGTGGGACAGACCTGTATTTCTAAAACAGTACAGGTTCATGTGAAGCTGGTTTTTTTTGTCTGGTTGGTTTTTTTTAATATCCCTTTGTATGTGGGCTTTATAAAATTATTTAGATACCCTCAAATTAGCTTGGTCAAATATTCTGCAGTCTGTTTCTGGTAAAGTGCTTGTCCTGGAGTTGCACACCATAGCACATGGGTAGATCAGTATGTGCAGTAAAGACCAAGAGAAAAGAACAATTACTTGCTGTATCATTGTGGTGCTGTGCTTGGCCTTGAGGCTACTTCTGAGGAAGCAAACAGTTAAAATTTAACTCTACATCCTGTTGATCAACTGTTTTGTGTTGTGGTTTTTTTCTCATATAATTTGAAGCAGACAGATAGTGAAGTCAGCTAATCATTAACAGCTCCTTCAATCTCCAAGTTTAACTTTGCTTCTAGGATTAGCTGACATGGTCCCTAGGTCCCAGCTATAATGGCAAAGGAGTATGTTTGATGGTTTACTTTAAATTTGCTTCCCAAAGGAAACATGTTTTGCTTTTGGAAGAGCTATCTTGGTTGGACTCAGTGATCCCAAAGGTCTTTTCCAACCTAAATGGTTCTATGATTCCTCTTCTCCAAAACAGTGCAATGCTGGACTTTCTACTGCTGCATTGTGTGGGAGTAAGAATCCCATCCCTGTTCCCCAAATTTTAAATTGTGCCACATACTTATGTTTCAACATAGGCCGAGCATACCTGAAGCTGCTCTGTTTTCTGATGCTTGTTAGCCTGTGTTAACCCAAGCCAATTTGTCATGCTTTGCTCTTCTCAATCTTTGATGTTTTAAAGTAGGTTTTGTGCATATAATCACAAACTTAACTACTGTTTAGCTGTTTTGTTACCATAATGGAGCAGATACTTATAGCTACAGGTGCCAAGTCTAGAGCTTTGAGAATGGCCTGGTTTGGCTATTACCTGGTATATGTAGCTTATCTCTCTTGGGAATTAACTGGCTGGCAGGATAGATAAGCTATCCTGCTAAAAATTGCTTGTGTTTTGAGTTTTCTCTCTTGGAAGTGAAAAACACTGCCTATGGCTAAACAAACTTCCACATCAACATCTAGCAAACAGATATAAATAAAAATTAACAATTTTTTGACAAAAGTCAATCACATGACAATTAATAGCATGCAGTCTTTCTAGGTCTAGAAAAAGTAGTTTTTTCTTGATACAAGATGTTGTCTAGTAGTTGATGGGCTGCATATTGCTCTGAGCAAAGCATACAGAGTTATAGAATCACTCTAGGTTGGAAAAGACCTGTAAGATCATCAAGTCCAACCATTAACCCTACTCTACCAAGCCCAGCACTGAGCCAGATCCCCAAGCGCCACATCTTAACGACTTTTGAACACATCCAGGGATGGTGACTCTACCATGTCCCTGGGCAGCATGTTCCAATGTCTGACAACCCTGCTGAGAGCCTCTGCTTTCGCCTTGCTTTTCCAGTGTGCCAGATGTGTTAAGAGTTGCAGTCTCATTTGCTTTGAATTAGTCTCTTGCACAGGCACATGTGCATATTTTTCAAGTTTTACATAATGTGCCAGAAGTTACTGACCCTGCACAGTGATACAGGTAGTCCTCTCTGTGCTAACTTTACATTACTGAAATCTGTGCAAAGACTTCACAAATTGCTTCTCTATATTTAATTTTTTATAAGCTGTCTGATAGAGTTAATATATGCTCTTTTCCTGTTCTAAGTTGAGGCTTTTTTTCTGTTAACAACAACTTACTGCAAGATTATTTAAGTAATTTTCCAAAGCATGTATGGTACAGCATCTCTGTTCCTGGAATTTCTTATCCTCTGCTCTAGTAATTAATGGAATTTTCATGGTTCATTGCACGGAGGAAAAGTCCATCTTTTTGGACTATCTGATAGGAGAAGATGCATCTTTTTGTATTGTGAAGAGTTTTGTTTCTTTTTTCTTTTGACATCAATGTGAAGAGAACTCCTAATATGAAGATGCTTTTTTGTCCATCCACTAAAAAAAATTGAATTTATTAGTAACAACAGATACTGTTTGTGAGAATGAAGTAGAAGCATTGATTTATGTCAATTGCATAGTAGTATTTTAAAATACTGTATTTTAAAACATTGCAGTATGTGCATTAAATGGATGTTGTCCTTAGCCTCCTATATTGTTATGTTGTTTAGGTGACTCTAAATAAAGAGTTATTTTCACCTATGCAGTGCTCATGTATTCCAAAATCTGAAGAGTTGCTTATTATTAACGTGTTCTGTAGGATTGTTTGAAACCTGGTGTTACCATTGAGCACAAGGGTTCAGGTTGTATAGATTGGAAGAGAGATGATCTCAGAACATGTAGCACAGCACTCTGATAATGTTTCTGGATCTCTCTGAAGGCAAACTAAAAGGCAGAACTAACATGTATTTTGGTTTCTAAAAGAAAAGGAACGAGTAGTAGTTGTAGCTGTAGCTGAAGCATTGAAGAAATACGTGTAGTCTTGTTCTTAAGACTTTGCTCTGTCATCTGTGAAATTGGCTGCCAGAGCAGTGGCTGATATCTGATACTGATGTAGTGGTAAATGCTTGATATATAGGATTGTCTCCTTTGGGGATTTTTCAGAGCATGAGTATTTAGAACAATAAAGTTTGCTCCAAAGCTTTATTGGGATCTTTAATTAACTTATTAGAAATAAATTACTGCAGACATATGCATTTAATTGCTTAAATAAATGTCTTACATTGCTCTGGAAAATCACAACTCTTAATAGAAAAAAGATTCTGTGTGTTTCCAAAGCAAAAGAACCTTTTGCAATGTTATAAGTGGTCTGTTCTTTAGCTTTAAGCTTTGAAAACAAGCTTGCTTGATATTGCTGCTTTTAGGTGCTTCCTCACTTGTGTTCCTACTTGTAATATGCAATGCCAAGTATCAAAGCTGTTAAGGAGGATTTTATTTCTTCCTGTACTTAGGGGAATTTAAGATTATTTGAGTGTGTGCAGCAGTTAATGAAAAAAGCAGTTAAATTGAAGGCATATCTTAGTGAACTCTGAACACGGAATTCTAGCTTTCCCAGAAATGGCCATTTCCTGGATGCTTTTTGTATTTTGCCTCATATGAAAGTAGAGTGAAATATAAACTTAATTTTTTGCTTCATCTTTGACTCTGCTTCACTAAACAAAACCTTGCATGTCACAATATCCATTTTAGATTAGGCCATTTCTAGAGATGTACCCAAACAAGTATTGATGGACAAGGTTTTTCCTTTTCCTGAACTTTGACTGTTTCTATGACAGTCTCTCCAGGAGGAATTGATGCTTTACAGACTAAGACTAATTTTCCTTAGTGGAAAAAGTTGTGGCTTGATAGGTTTTGTTCAGAGTCACAGACAGTGGTAGTTTTTGTCAGTTACCATCTCCTGCAATGAGAACCTGAGGTTCTAGTAGGTACTTAAACCAGTAAATTAAATCCCTGAATCTTCAAATAGGCTTCCTAGAGGGGGGACTTCCTATGGCATCTGATGCTTGATTTGTACTTGTTCTCCCTAAGCTAGGGCTTAAGTGGTGCTTATATTGCATGTAGAAGCATGTGTCTGTTATATGAAGCTTAGTTGGATCCTTCACAGACTGCTGGACTTACCTTTCTTTGTCTCTTTAGGTATTTTCTAATGAGATGATGGAGCTTTGCTGATTTTATATTCTTTAACATGCATCATTAAGGCTCTGTTTTATTATTTTAGTAAAGCTGCTATAAACAGTATGACTGAAACTAGCCTTAGTGCTGAAATTAGACCTTCTATATGCAGGCTCTTACTCTGATATGCACTGATGGTTTTGCTGAAAGAAATTACCACACAGACTTCCCAAGCTTAGTCCCCTTCTGGGGCTGTGAGCAAATTGCTTAGCTTGTCTGTCCTGGTTTCCCAGCTGTGGAGTTGTAGTAATTTATTACTAGTGCCAGTCATAAGAACACTGATGGTTAATCTGCAAGTACTGTATCTGCATAGTGTCTTTAGCATGTCAGAGGAGTAATTTCTAATTGTAATTTTATTACTAATATTGGTCATTTCATTACAGTGTAATTTTCAAACAATGTTCATGTAGATGAAACTCATTTTGTCAATAAACTGGCATCCTTCCAGCAGCATTAACTTGGTTCAGATTCTTTGTCTAATAGTGAAGCCTAAACGTGTAGATAACAACAAATGCCAAAAGAAATTTGTATTTCTTGTTTTTATTCTAGACTGTGGACATCCACAAAGAAAAGGTTGCTCGCAGAGAGATAGGCATTTTGACAACCAATAAGAACACATCAAGAACTCACAAAATTATAGCGCCAGCGAACATGGAACGTCCTGTAAGGTATATTCGAAAACCTATAGACTACACGGTGCTGGATGATGTTGGCCATGGCGTGAAGGTAAGAATGCCTGGGGTCTCCAAAGCAGGAGAGGGGGTTGGGGCAGAAGTTATTACTGACATTAAAATGTTTAGTTCTTTTGTGGTGGTAGGAAGGATTATGGGTTTGATATGCTCCCAGATACAAACATTTTAATAACAAAATTGATTGGCTTACAGTGAGGAGTTTTTGAACAATGTTGACTACAACCTTGTGACTGTCAGTTGTAGTCACAGTGTCTGGAAATAATGGCTCATGATCTTCAGCTAATCACTTGTTAAAAAAGCCATGACTGGCTTTGAAAATTATCACTCCTTCCTTCTCTGATTAAATTGTCTTTGCCACTCCTTTTATTTCTGTTGCTATTAAGAAAAATTAAGTCATCTGTTATGGGGAAACTGGCTGGTGGGATGGGGGTTTTTTATGGGTTTTTTGGAGTGTGATCCAGGAGGAAGAGGAAAAGTTAGTTGGCACTGAAATCTCAGTGGCACTTTGTATCTCACTCCCATTAGTACCTCATTTTTCTTTTCTCTAAGTAAAAGCTTTAATAAATTACTGTCTACATCCCTTGAAATGGTCACAGTTGAAGTGAATTAATAGAACACCCTTTGCTCCCTAGACAACTTTATAAAAAATAGCTTTGTATCCCCCTAGAGCAGGCATTTCAGGTATAATCAGTTCACAACAATCTTTCCTTGAATGGCATTAAAAAGCTTTTCTTAACACCTGTGTATCCTCTAAAGCTTTATGTGCTCTGGTCAGTCAGCTGTGCAGCTAGATCAACCCATTATGTGCCCTTTGAATTGCTGAGCTCTTGAGGAACAAATCTTTCAGAATTATTCCATACATAAGAGTGCCAGGGTACCTCCTACTTCTTAGTAACTATCTGAATGTCCAGAGGTGTCTAATTCCAACACAAGTTAGAAAGCAGCTCTATACCATGGCAGCTATAGGCTATGAATTAGCATAGTGACTTTGGTCTACCTGATTTTTTGTTTTGTTTTGTTTGTAGCTAAACTGGTACTAAACTGGTAACTCTTAGGCTTGTTTTATACCAATAATGTAAGCCAGACTGAATCCAGCCTATATATAGAAGGCGGAAAGACATGCCCTGAAATGCTATGAAATAGAATTACTGGGGTCAGAAATTGGTAATTTTTCAGAACAGTCTGCATTGAAGAAGAGAGTTCTATGAATAGAGAATACAGGAATCTGGAAATTCAGTGTCAGAAAGTTGGTTTCTGCTTTTTAAGTGCTCCAGCGATCAAGCACTGTAGAAAACTTTTGAAAAGTAAGATAATTACTGTTAGTTTCTGAAGTCAGTGCTTTTCTGAACTGCTTGTGTTGTGGAGGCTCAAAACAGGTTGCTCAATCCATAAACATAGACTGAAGTTGTTAAGGTGCAGCAGTTATATTTTCCAGTATGACTATTTGCTTTTAGGAATACTGATGTCTGTTTTATTAGGGAGACCTTATTTGTTTAGGGGATGGAAATAAGGTGCTGTTTACCTATTTCTAGACAGCTCTTACAAAACATTTTGGTAAAGGTTTTTTAAATGTTAGTGCTTTAATTCTGTGTTTAAAACTTTGTTCAGAAGTAAAACAGCTTCCAGTAATAACCAAATTAGCAACTCTTTACGAGTCAGCTACAAATTATATTTTGTATTTTGCTATCCTTTATTGAGTGATTGACCTAAGTCTATTGTATGACTGTGGCATGAAACAGTAGAAAAAATATGTTAATATTTCCTATGTAGACTTGTTACATAAACGAAATAATCTGCCACTGGACCTCAAGTATATAGTTCCAGATGGCTGTCATGCATTTGACACCTTCACCAGTGTTGACGTGTACTGGACACACTGTTGAAAAGAGTGAGGTACTTGAGACCACTGTTGAGGTAGTGATTATATAATTACATGTGTTTAGTGTGGCACAGACCACAGCTCTGAAGGAAGGAGCTTGCTTTGCAAACTAGATGCAGCTAGTACTGCTATAAGAAAAATCAAATTGATACTACTGTAGCAACTGGATTAGGTCTTGTTGGAACTCAGTACAAATAATGGATGATGGTGAGAATCTGAGTTGCTTCTTGAACATACAGATTAGGGGAAGCATGCTATAAACTGACCAATCTTTTTGACCAAAAATTTCACCCCAAGTTGAACAGCAACACATTTGATAAGGCATTGGAAACCATGTTTTTTTAGAGCAAAAGAAGTCTGAGTTGTGCCTAGAGAAACTGCCTGAATAACTTGCAGGTCCTTGAATGTCTTCTACTGAGGCAACTGCCAATAAAATACAGTACAACACATACATTGACACTTAAGTATTTCATAAAAATTATGACGCACTGAAATGTGTGGATTACAATTTACTTCTGTTAATGGGACTCTCTGATTTCTCCTATGGGATTTGATAAAGAAACAAAGGAAAAACAGAAGGAAGATAAATCAAAGATATAGGCTGGATTGTAGCCTATTTCTGCTTTAATTTATTTCATAAAATACTAATCCTAGGAAAAATATAAATAAAGTATGCAGTATGTTTTAGCAGATGATCCTGAATTTTTTACATAAAAAGGGTAAAAAATACTGTCTCAAAATTTTAAAAAGTGTAGTCCTCACAGGAATGTTTTCTCCTGTTTGTCTTCTATCTGAGCAAATGCAGAAACACCTTCTGTGCATACTCACAGCTGATTTTCTTTGTGTGTCTCTGATGTTTCTCATGGTTGTGTAGAGAGGATGAAAAAGCAGATGCTTATGCTCAAGGCATGGAAAAGGGCTCTACATGCCCCCCTCTGTCTCACGTGCATATAGTGATTTTGTGCAGACAGATGATGGTGATGGTGGCAGTGATGATAGTAAGGAGCAGGTTTCCTCCCTGATGAGAGAGACACTTCCTTGGAAGGCAGTGCAGTTTCTTCCTCCAGCAGCTTCTTGGTAGAAAAGCTTTTATGGAGCACCCTAGAACTGCAGAGGTGCTTTCTCCCTCGAAAGCTCTGTGGCAGCCCCAAGCTGCCCCAGCTGCTGTACTCCCTGCCCTTTGCCTCTGCAGGGGCAGATACAGAGTCTCCAAAAGGATAAATATGCTTTTTTAACCTAGGTGCCTATGAAGTCAAGGCCAGCATCAGTCAAAATCGGGGGCTTTTAAAATAGTTTTGCTAGTCAGAAGGCTTTCCCTTGCAACACAAATGCTATGTGTAGATGGCTCCAAGAAACACACATGCAAGCATTTTTGCTGGTCTGTTAAGTCGTTGCTCAGCTGTTACCCTCTGGGGATAGGGGAATGTAGCTGAAGTCATTCTTGGTAAATAAGAGTAACTGTCATGATGTGAATGCTTACCTTCCTGTGTACAGCTTGGTTTAAAATTATTAGGCAGAGGCTACTTTAACATTTCCTTCCTTCTTTTCCCCTTCTTTTGTGAAAGGGAAAAAAAAAAAAAAAGTAGTGTGCCAGCAAATAAATAGGTCAAATACAATTACTCTTACAGAAAATCCTCAGTTGAACAGGGGGAGAAGGAGGAGGAAGCTTGGAAGCTGCCTTAAAAGCTGTAAAGTTGGCCTTTAATTTTTTTAAATTTTTTTTAATAGGAGGCAAGTGGAATTGCAGCAATTAGTAAAATGGCAGCTAAATAGGAAACTGAAATGATGCCTTATGGTAAAGGCAGATAAAATGTTGAATACTTGCTAAATGGAAATGCCTAGTAGCTGTAATTGGATTGAATTTGTTTTACAAACTAATAGTTCTTCAAAACCAGACTTGAATTGTATATGAAGATTGATCACTTTTCAGCTTTGTTTTAAGAAAAAAAATTGGAATTTAATCACTGTAAAATACTTGCATTTCAGAGCATTGAATCTGTAAGAAGCTTTCTAGCCCGGGATGTCAAACATGAGTTAAAAATTCAGAAATTGTTCTTAGGCAGATGGAAGCTGGAAGGACTACTTTAAAATAGGGATTGGGCCAAAATTTACTAAACATTAAGCTTGGAGAAGGGAGCCTTGCTCTCACCCTGGTTATGCTTCCCAGCCGACCCTGCTAACCCATAGTCCTTGTACTTACATCTGTGTTGCTGCAAAACAAAATTGCAGGTGAGGTACTGATGTGAGGGTGGAAGGCTACCTTATCATGTAATCTTCCCCTTTAGGATAAGACCTTTTGTGTGTTAGCCACTTTTAAATAGTTCACAGTAATAAAAACAAAGTGTGACAGGGAGTCTGAACCTGAGCCTCTGCTGCCTTTGTCCCTGTATTAGACTCCACCAGACACTCACGCTTCAAAGGATGTCATGTTGCCAATTTCATTAATGTCACATCATCCCTCTGGGGTCATGGCCAAACAGTAAATACTGCTGTAGGGTAAAGAACGCTTCTCTGGGGGAAAAAGCAACTCTCTCTCCTTTGCCAGCTCTAATGACTCCGTTTGAGTGTTGACACTGTGCTTTTCATAGGGCACTTGCTACTGGAAATTCAGAAGTGTGCAGTGTCATCTGATACAATGTAGGTTTCAAGGCCTCCTGCTTGCAAGGAAAACTCAAAACTATGAGGTCTCTTTATTTTCTAATTTTGAAAAGATTTTTTTTTTTACATTTATACATTTATTTTTTTACATTTACATCTTATTTTATTGTAGCTAGGTTCGAAGTTACCAACTCAAAGAATTAAAAAAGCTTGATGTATTTAAAGGCAGGAATCTAGGTATCTTTCTCTGAACCAGAATACTGAGGTCTGAGGGAACGGTATTAATTGTTTCTATCATCCACAAGCAGGTTCTTGTATGTTAATTGTAGTTTAATATATAAAAACATCTTAAGGTCAGATGTGATTTAAATTTTTGCCCGCTCAGTTTGGAAATTAAAAAAAAAAAAAAAGAGGAAGAAATCAAGGACAGAAGCAATATTGACAAGCTACATCTGGTTGCTGTTAATGGAAGACTGTAATTATTAGCCTGCAAATAATACTGGGAGAGGTTATAGTTAAAGGTAAAAATTCACTGAAGAGAGACTTACCTACTTATG